ATGTCCTGTGCATGCATGATCATGATACCCAACTATATGCTGCCTTTTTATTATTCAACAAAATAACTGAGCAACCTAGCTGATCTTTAGCTGATCTGAAATTTCGAAGTGCCCATAGGGTCCCCGCCACTTTCCGGTGCGCATTCTTCGCGCACGATCAAGTGTTTTCATTACGCCTAAACTTTTCCGAGTCCTCGAAAATACCAATTTTAGTGGACTGCATTTTTGTCTTTTGCGGTTGTGTAATCCATGTTGGTTATCAGTTTACTGAGCCCTCGCTGGGTGGGCCTTGCAGCTGTTCTTTTTAAGACCAGTAAACTGATAACCAACATGGATTACACAACCGCAAAAGACAAAAACGAACAGACGTACCACATAATATGTGAGGTGCGAACTGTACTTAAAGGGCATTTACAAGTCTGTTCAATCTTTCTGGCCTACTGGCAGCCTGTGTACACAGCAACCAATGAAAACATGACTGCCTTGTCCCCGCGCCGCACCCGGAACGCTAGGCCGCCGCGCCGCTGGTGAACGTGGCTGGCCGGCCTCGGTGGCGGCCAGGGTTAGGCTGCGCTGTCGCATGGAGCGGCGTTTAGTGACTGATTTCATTCTTTAAACCGCAGTGATATTTTCCGCATGAGAATCAATGTATAAATTGCGGCTTACATTCCGAAAATTGTAGTATATTAACATTATATATTTATTACCCCCAACCCCCCACTAACGAGCGGAACTCGGAAGCTCCAACTCGGTTCGTTGGAACCCCCCCCGCCTACGGGCCTGTATGCATTATTCATAAATTTCATGTTGAACAGTTGAAGCAGAAATACACGGCATCAATTCCAAATTTTTTGTAATAAAATGTTTCCATTCGGTTTTTCATAAGGGCAATAAGCGGTGAAGATGACAACCAAAGATTATATAGCGCCGGCGCAAGATGAGTAATTCGGCCATAAAGGTGTTATCATCACGGGCGCCATTCGAGTGTGAACGTTCATTGTGTGCGTGCCTGTCGTGGCGCCTGCGCCTACGCATTAACATGTACTGCGCAGTTGTAGTCCAACCAGAATGGCGCCAATGTGATAACAACGTTTTAGGCGTTTTCATGGTGAAGTTCCTCATCTGGCGCCACTACGCGGCGCTATACGATCTTTGATGACAACCATGATGCTTGTTGGTGGGGGATGGTGCTGACGTTGGAGTAACACTAGCAGTTCATCAAGGCCGAATGGTCAAAGCAAAATGGCAGTGCTTGAAATATGGAACTCTTACCATATCCCCCGAGTAAAGACGAAAACGTCACCCCGCGTACAGATGCTTCAATAGCATCTGCAACTGCAACGGTTTAAACTCGGCAAGGTGAAGTTTTCCAGCAGCATATTCTTAAGAACTGTTCAAATACTGCTCAGACAACTGATCTGCACTCACTGCCGCCGACACACTTGACACGCTCGCCATCTTTCGTATACTTTCAATTTGCATAATAGGTTAATGTGTGCTGACCCCCTCGCTTATGATTGCTTGGAATTTTTACTACTCCAACGAGCAGTTTTCAGACTGATGATGCTCAATGAAGAGACCAGCTCCATGCACGAGCATGGAGTGGCGCAGTGAAGAGTACAAAGCGCCTTCAAGAAATAGGAAGCAGGCACCAACTCATGCCTTCTTTTGGGAATATTTCCGTTATTCCTTGCTGCTCGAGTTTGATGGGAGCAAAAACTGCTGGGTTGGCCGTTCTACTCAGCGTTCTAAGGATAGGAACGATAAATTAAGGCTTATGTAAACGGAACGCACTGTTTGGACATAACACATTTTGTTTGCCTTTCTAACTGTGAAAGTGGGACGTTGGCGGGCACGAACGTCCACACTAGTGTAATTTGACTGACATTATTCTATTGGCATAATTACGAATAGAAAAACACATATAAACAAAATAAAAATTATCGATCGGAAACGTACACAAATTAAAAGACGAAAATACGCAAGATCCAAGACAGAAAGAACTGATCTTAAGTGTGCATGTATAACAATCGTTTTAAGCTGAGCTGGCGCATGGTGTCAGGTCAACTCGACCGTTTTCCGACTCGACTCGAGTGAACTCGACTCTCGACCAACTCGACCGGAGTCGACCAACTCGACCGTTCTTCCTTCAACCATTAAGGTCAACTCGACTCTCAACCAACTCAACTCTTGACCAACTCGACTGTGCAAACGGTTCAACAGCGCATAGAAGGAACGTATTTTCCTAGTTCTGGATCGCGTGCGTAATTCGTTTTACTGTGTGTGATGTGATCTGTGCATGCGCACAGTGTGGTGACAGATTTCAGGGATTCGTGGGTGCGTGCTTTTTCTCAAATTGAGTGGGGCAGCATAGTGAACCTATTGTGCATTTTGTGATAAAAGCACCAAATCTGGCATGGAGATAGATTAACACAATATAAACAAATCTGGATATTGGGGCATCTCTGATTTTGCTCTTCACAGCTGTGGCAGCCATTTTTCAAAATGGCGGCCAAA